TGTTGTTGTTGTTCTCGCTATCGATATTCTCACATTACTATGCATGGTGGGCGTACATCAACTACTATAATGACGACTACTATCTGCAATGGAACCATCAGTTATTCTTTACGGTAAGTTAGTGAAACTATTTATGCATATAGAGTACCATTCAACCACCAGTCAGCCATATTAAATACTCTATACGACTGAAGGTGGCTTATGCACCCTCTATCAGGAATTTAATAATGCTCATTCATTTGCAATACAGCAGTGTAATACTTTTGTTTTTGCTTTTTAAATACTTTTTTTTTAATTAAAATTTTCGCTTTGCCTAAAATTTGTAAATATTTTTACATGTTACCTGCATTGCTTTCAGCCTCGTAAACCATTTGGCTTTCTGACGTTTTCATTTCAACGAAAAATGCAACGATTTATAGTAACATACAACGTTTAGATATTTATTGCATTGAAAATATTAGGAGGATATTATGACAGCTTATGTTAATTTATCATATGTCAGGATTGTAGCCCGAAAAAGTTTTTATCACGTGAGTCTGTAAAGCACGTACAATGCATATTAAAAAAATAAAATATTTTAATAGAAAATTTAAATTTCAAAACATACATTCGGATATTCGAATGATTGAAACTATTCGAACTACTTGATGCAAAACGGATATCCGGATACGCAAACAGTTCAAATTCGAATTATTTGATGCAAAACGGATATTTGGATAGTTCAAACTATACAAACTATATAGTGCTAATATTCGATTTATTTTTTATTTGAATATTCATATTCGTCGGATTTGTCATATATCAAACAATTTCTATATTTAGAAATTCTATTTATAGTCAAAGATTTGAACCTGGTCTGATTTTATTATATTCCATATATAATTAATGTATTAATAATGTATTAATAATATCTAATACGTAATGACTTGTGCCATGGTAAAGATTCTGGTAAGGAGAAATAAACTGTGTTTCATCTTATGTGGAAATCCTTATCTTTGGCCTGTAGGTAATTCAATATATTTGTTGGCCCCTTTCTCACCGACATGACGGACCTGTTATTATTCGATGTTAGGGCCTTAGCGAAAATTATAGACTTGTCAAATTGGTGCCATTTTTACCAGTCATGTTTGGTCGCGTGGTGACTATTGTTTTATACGTTATCTGTACACAAATCACTTTAGAATCATTGTTTTATCAATACTACCTCAACTAGCGATTATTTATATTCACGTAAGTATTAGTATGTAAAGTTGTCAATCTAACCCAACCTGACATAAGAAAATTAAATTCGACAGTACTTTGCATATCAGTATTTTGTAAAACGAAAGTTTATGTAAACATTAAATTTGTAGGTCTTCCATCCTCAATGGTCTATTCAATATTGCTAGAATAGGAATAGAAGTCATTATCTGTTTCATTAATCATGACAAAGTAGTTTTAAAATACCGAGCATGTCTCCAAAATTGTAGTATTACACTCACAGTATGCACTCAAAAACTTAATTATTCTCATCTTTCCATAAAACAGGCTGTTTTGGTACCTACAACTTACTATCAATATCTTCTAATAACCATAGAGCAAGTTTTCATTAATCATTACTGTCAACTTTAGAATTTTTAAGGATTTAGTATTAAACATCCTGATTGCTAAGTGTTTAATTATCTTTACACAAGAATATAAGGTATTTTTTTTTTTGTGAGAAGGTAAACTTCTGACAACATGCAATAATTTTTAATTTAATATGAAGAATATGTATTATTATTATGGATAGGATGTACATGCACTGCGACCTGAAATATTTTTTGTCCTATTCTAAATTTTTGAAGAATTTTGTGAGAACTGTGGGTCGTATTTTAACTGTGTGTTTGGGACTCATAACTCCACTGCCTAGATAGTTAAGCCTGTATCTTGCCACGGCTGGGCAGGCGCATAGGGTGTGCTAAGGTTCGCCACGTACAAAGCCCATACACCACGACAAGGTGACTTTATCTTCAGGGGATATGAACAATATATACAGATTAAAAAATTATTAAAACTTATAACTAAATTATAATCGAATACGAATAGTATTGCTGAAAGGTTATTTAATCGTGTGGATTAAGAATATATATAAAGAATATATATGAAGAATATATTTAAAATCTATACACATAAACTATTATTATTTTACTAAGCTAAACGATATTATTTAAATGTTTTCATTTTCTTAATCAATTCTTTTCCAGATAACCGAACTGATATCATCAATTTTAGTAATGCATTTGGCTAATTCAACGAATACAGTTACATCGAAGAAAATATTTTGCATTGTTGGCATTGCCATACTGCACATTACCGCCAGTAGCTTCGATCAATTTTTCATGAATGTCCTACGCGGTGAAGGATATGCACATCAAATTGTACGTGACATTGGCTTTATGGTGCCAGACATACTACAGCTGGTTATACCATTGTGGCTATTTCGACAGACACGCAAAGAATCCTACACAACACGACCTTTCTATCAGGATCGCAGTCTGCACAAGGATATTGTGGCTATGTGCTTCTTCGTCCTTACATTGTTCGTAGTCTGTACGATTTTGTGAGAGCGAATTTTTCAATATCTGCAACAAACAAAACACTTGAATGACAATGCAAGTTTTATGCACAATAAAAATAACAATAATCACAACTACAATAAAGGAAACGAAGTATTTAGTATGATGCATGTAAATAAAGGATATAAAACGTGGTATGAACGTTTAAAGAAATTAAATGTTTAAGCAGTGCAAAGGGAGCGAATGCATGCGTGTGTTTGTGTGAATGTGTGTACCTTCAAAGCAAATCTGTTTGTTGGTGACGCATGGCGTATGAGTGATTTTTTCTTATTTAAAATTGTGTGCTTCAGTTTTTGACGGTTGGGTTGGCTTTTAATACTTTTTAAGATTTTAATTTTAGTTAAGTAATCTTAGTTTATATTTATTTTTTCAATATAAATAAAACATTTTAATTTAATATAGTAATTGTGTAATGTGTAATAATTTTAAAATGTGTAGTATATAATATTAGTGTAGTTTAATATTCTAATGGTTTTCTGTTTTGATTTATTTAAGTTATGCAAAAATCATTTAAAATAAAATCAAATGCATTAGAACAAATAGAAATATTCATGCTCAAATTATATAAAATGAAAGTTAAATGTAATAGCTTTCATACATAAAAATTAAATATCAAATATAAAATATAAAATAGAGAAGTGCATTCAAACATTTCTGAAAATGTCAAAAAAAAAACATATCCCACTTTTATTATATGGATTTGTTTCCAGTTGAAATCTTCCAATAAATGATCAGATTGATATATATATAAATATATATAAAAATAAAAACAGAAAATATAGTTTTTATATAAAATATAGCTCATACATGTTAAGATTTAAATCAAAATATTTATTTAATATACAGTTCAAAAATACTTCTAATACATTAGATACTTAAAAAAATATGATAGAATATGTTAAAATGCATTTGCATTATTAAAAAGTATTAAATACAAACTTATGAAATAATTAGATTGTAGAAACTCCAAAGATATTTTAGTACATTAGGTACTTTATGCTTAGTAGTTCATTATTATTATACCATAGAGTTACATTCATATACACAATATTACTGATTAAGTAAATGAATAACATTTAATGATATAAAGCAACTGAACTCAAAAAATGATTATTTACAAGTATATTAATATTTTTTTTTCATAAAATTCCACATTATATAATTTTTTTTACTGTCTACAATATTTGAAAAATTAGTTCAAGTATAGTTTTTATATTAAACTTTAAATTATTGAATTATTAAAAAAAACTTTTTTTGACTGTGTCCCAATGTGAGGTCTTATGTCTTTTTACTTTGGATGGTTTAATCGCTTGTATGCAGCAAGCGTGACCAAGAGTAGGAGCTATGTTGTTCATTAAGTATTGAAATAAAACTTAAAACATTTATAAATAATTAAATAGGGTTTTTTAATAGAAATTTCCAAATAATAATACATCAAAATTATTTTTTATTTGAAGTTAATTAAATTATGGTTGATTATAAGATTTTTTGTTATTATTTTTTGTAATTAATGATTCGCATATAAGTTTTGAGGCCCTATGCTTCAATGGAAGATACAGGAATTGATAATGATGATGATGATATAAGTTTTAAATTGCAAGTACCAAATGCTTAACTTAAGCTTAACCAAAATTGCAACACATATTTACGATTCAGATACCTTAGTAAACCTCGTACTTAAATAATATTGTTGTTGTTATTTCACTAACAGAGTAATTTGCTTTACTTTATATGAATTAAAGACATAAACTACAGCTACATAAAAATGAAATTTAATAATATAATTATTTTTATCAAATTTTAGCTGTATAAACAGGAATTCAATTAACTTCTTGTATTTTATTACTATTTATTTCTTTTTATATTTATTATTTAATTCATTATATATTTATTTAAAATAGCTTTTTTGTAATGTTCGACTTTAAATAATTTTATTTAAATAGTGTTTTGTTCAATAATAACTCCTTATTCACAAGGTATTTATAATATAGATTCATACAAGGTTTTGTAGCACATATATATATATATATGTACTTATATTCATTATAAATTTTGTTCCTCAATATAACAAAGAACATATTTCTAATATTTAAAAGACTTGAACGAAATAATTTTCAAAATTCAACTTTTGAAAAAAAAACGAATAAAAATTAACGATTTTTGTAACGAATGTTAAAATGTATATTATCAAAAATTATTTTTTTTTTGTTTATTATACATGTATTAATAGTCACTTAGTACCCTTAGAGATAATTGTTAATTATTACAAATTAGTAAATAATTTAAAAAAATAAAACAAAATATTATAACAATTTTAAAATAATTTTTTTCTTATAATGTAGCCTGCACTATATTTATAGAATTAATATTTTTCGATTTCTATTTCATTTTTTTAGATGGATTCAAAAAATGTATTAATTAAATTAATATTTTAATATCTTACCATTTAAATATACTTTATTTTAGTGTCCAATGTATTTCATGTTTCATGGCATCATTTCCAATCTTGATTAAATTCATGATAATATTTTATTAACAACAATGTTATATGCTTTTCACACGGTTCAAGTTAATCAAGATTGAATACTCAATTGTCTTAAGTGTTGCTGTTTCATAAGTATTTGTTGTTTTCATACTGTCTTAGGCAATATTACTTTTGAAATATATGCTTTGTTAGGTTCTTTAATACTAGTGAGGCCGAAGACAATAGTGAACCGTTTCCTGTCTTTGCGTGGAGCAGCCGATGATTTGGTTTAACCTTACGACTTCAATTTTTCATCTACAGCCTTCCTCTAAAGATTAATTTGTGTCTTTTTTGTAAGCTTGATATAAAACTACGTCTGCAAATTCGATTGAACTTTTCAACACATTTTTTTTGTTTTCTCTCCCAAAATTATATACATTCGTCTGCGATTAGACATTTAGTACTTTTTTACATTTGATTGTTGGGATGTGTAGAATAATTAGGATCAACACCTTAATTTTTCCGTTTTCTGTACTGCGCAGTATTGTTGTTATTGGATTAGGTCGACCGGTCTCAATCTTTTGAGACGCGAAAAAATGGAATTAACTCGAGTTTTGAAGTGGATTATCAAGGCAAGAGTGCATTGATCAACTTACTTCCACATTGGTACAGTGAAACGATGGTACAGTGATTTTAATCGTAACCACAGTTCACTCACTGACCTTAATGAAATTAGTGAAGGTCGACCAAAATGAGTTGTTCAGTTATTGTCCCAGAAAACATTGATGCTGAAGCAACCCTAGGCATAAGTTCTACCAGCATACGAGTATATAAAATATTGCACGATCATTTAGACGTGAAAAAGGTTTGTTCTCATTGGTTCCCCCATCATTTGACAAAATCTTAATAAGATGCACGTGTCGTTTGGTGCTCACAAATGCTCAAGAAGTACAATGGCGCTACTTCAAAAGACATACAAAAGACATAAGATTGTAACACAGGTGACGAATGATGGATATACGCGTATAAAGCGGAAAGTAAACAGCAGTCGACTGTATGATTGTATGGCTATTTCAAGATGAACCAAATGCAACAGAAGTGGTTCAAAAAAGGTTAGGAACCACTGATGTTAGGGTATGAAAAGAGATATAGCATCTAAAAATAAAGAATTAATCATATCGACATGGTCTCCTTGACGGAAGTTTGAAAAGAGTGATAACTCAATAATCGTTTGCATGCCTAGCAATGCAGCAGTAGAGGTCCAAGAAAATTAGTTAGAAAATAATAAAATAAAACTCAAGCTATTCCAATCATTAAAACCTATAATGGAAAGCGAAAAATACGAATTTGTGAGCAATATTGTAAAGCAGAATAAGGTATACTTTTACGATAATCAAGAAGAGTAACAGTAAAACTTTATTTGCCTTTATATATATATTATATTATATATATATTATAATGTATATATATATTATATTGAATTATATTATATATACATATATACATTATATATTAATATAATGAGTATATATATAATTTTCTTTAGTAAACATGATGCCACATTTTTATAACTAATTTTATAAATAAAATAGTTCAAATCAAGTGAAAAATTACGAAGATAATTTCAATTGATTTCGTTCTATTGATTAAGTTACATTTTAGTTGCAATGTTAAAGTTCAGATTGGAGAAACATGAACAGAAATTAAAGAAAATTGATTTAACGTGAAAGTGTCCATTTTTTATAGAAAATATTTTCTAAATGTTCAGTCTGTGTAAATAAATTCCGAAAACAAAAACTACATAAACAGGAAAACTTTGTTGATGACTTTTTTACGATGCAATCTCATTATCCAATTCAAAAGTGGATGAATACATACATAAGTATCTGAATTTAGTTTGTAGTATTTGATTGGATTTGGGTTGAGCTTGTAGAGGTGTTTTGAAGGGCAATGGAGTTCAGAAAATTTAAATGTTAAAAGTTTAAATTTCAATCCATATAGGAACTTTCGTTTAATTTGCTGTCAATAAACAAATGAAAGACATCTCTGACAATCAATGATAATGTTGACTCTTTAACAGTACAAAAATATGTTACTTTGTAGGGATTTAAATATTTTCATCAGTGATTTTCAGTAATCGTAGTTATTACTCTGAACTTTTATTTAGCAAACTACAAAGATACTAAACTTCTTCAAAGGATATTAAAGGATTCAATTGAATTCATTTATATAAAAAAGTACATTTCAAAGCATTATGTTTTTCAACTGCATAGACATTAAGAGTATTTTAGGTATTCGAAATGAAAAGCAAACAAATTGAATTTTATGAACCTTTATTGTTTAGAAATTTGATGTCAAAGAGTTTGTAAACAAAATGAGAAATTGCAGTCAACACTGTCAAGAAGTTACTTTATATTACGTCGAAATGTTTAAGGTTTACAAAAAGATTTTGATTTTGTCACTACAATTAAAGCAAATATTTGAAGAAATATCGAAATGAAATTTAAACAATGATATTTCATTTAAAAATAAAATTAAAACAATGCTACTTCATTTAAAACTGAATAAGGAAAAGTCTACAAATAGTTAAGAATGAGTGAAGAGCAATTTTGAAAATCTTTAACAAATAATTAAAATACAAGATTTTAATTCAAGTACAAATAGATTGTTCTAATAAATTTATGGAATACCATCCAATCATCAGCAGTAGACAGCAGTAAAATTCCGACGCCGTTATTCGAATCTCTTAATCTCTTAGATCTTCGCAAATATACAAACTATTTTTTAGGAAGCTCCAAAATAACCAAGAAGAATTAAGTAAAAATCTTATCTAATCATTA